CTGAGGCTTTAGGAGACCTTGTCTCAACAGCGACTCCCCCCCAACAAATTGTTGTATAAAAAAAGCTTTTTAACCTTCTTTTGACCAAAATAAATCCTGAAAGCCTCACATTTTACTCTAGGTATTCACTGCTTTGCAATATAATTTTGCGAGTTCTGTTGTTTTCTTGTCTGGCTGTCGTTGAAGGCTTTGGTAAAGACAATGCGGGCCTATGGAGTTAGTCTCAGCTTCAAGGGGTAAAGGTTAAGGAAACCTGTGGAGATTGTATCAGTTTTCTAAGAGCCAGGAAATGAATTCAAACAACTAAAAAGTAGTCTGGAATTAATCTTTTATTCTCAAGAGAAACACTAATCGAGATGGTTGACATTGGACACGTTTCTACAGAAATGCACAAAATAACATCAAATGGATATTAACTTTGCAGTCACATGCAACACAGTCTTCAGAGATGCCTTTAAGATGCTAGCCTGTCATTTAACACAGGTGAATGAAAGACAAGGTGTAAGATGCAGTCTTTTTTGCAAACAATTTAAGCATTTTTCTTTTTATTGTAAATACGTTCTGAAGGAAATTCTCTAGATCCCCATTGACATCCAGAGGCCTTTACTAATCTTTCCTGAGCTCGGTGATGATTTACCAACAATCACAGGCTTTCATAAGGAGGCAGGATTACAAAGAGAATTCTTAAGACAAGGTACTTAGATCCAAGCAAAACCTGTACTCAAAGAGGTGAATTACTGACATCTAAACTTCATTGGCTTTTTCACAGATAGAATGATACCTCACTGGCTTTCTTTTCCTTTACCCAGTCCTTATTTAGGATTATTCTTCTACTAGGAAAACCTTCTAAAACAAAACCGCTTTCCCTTATCTCCAGATAGCAGGAAGAAGAGCAGACATAGAACATGATTGGAATTTGTGTTGCTCCAAACATATCACAGGATCGGATGATACGCAGACCATCACCAAATTTGGGGCCATGACACCAATCACATCTGGATGTGCTGAAATGAAGAAGTGTGAGGTCAATGTCCAATGAGCTTCTACTAATATAAAAACACCGTGGTTAATGCTATGTAAGATTGAAACTTGTATAAAGTCCAGCTCTGATCTTCAGTGAGCTTACGTCTAGATGGGGTGCTTGCTAGCAAATGAAAATTTAAATGTTAATACACAGGAACAACAGGGTAGATATGTGTATAATGCAACCCTAGTTTCTAAAACAAAAGTATAATGCACAGCATTTTGTTTTGTTTTGTTACTAGGAATCAAATCCAGGTCTTTGTGCATACTAGGCAAGTGAACTACCACTGGGTGACATTCTCTTGTCCTGTGTAACTAAAATGATCTCATGGTGAGAGTGAGCAGAGCAGAGCCACCCATCTATGGCCAAGGACCCGAAAGAAACAAAAGTTAGGGACTGAAATTGCACAGTTCCCTCCAAGGGCATGCCCCCTAATGCCCCAAGGACATTCACTAGGCCTACCTCTCTCACAGGCTCTGCCACCTCCCCAATAACCCCACACTGAAGAATCAGGACTTTAGCCCATGGTTTTCTAAAGGATATTCAGGGTCAAAACTATGCTAGAGATTTGTGTCTTTATTGAGTCAATATTGGCCATTTATATTTTCCTGGGGAAGCATTTTACTTAGACATTCTTTTATTTATTTATTTTTTTGTCTTTTTGAGACACGGTCTCCGTGTAGCACCAGCTGGCCTGGAACTCTCTATGTAGACCAGGCTGGCCTTGAATTCACAGAGATCCGCTTTCCTCTGCCTCCCAAGTGCTGGGATTAAAGGCATGTGCCACCATGCCCAGCTTACTTAGATATTCTAAAAGTATCTTTTAAACCCATGGTTCCAATATTGATGAGGAATTTTTCTTTACTTAAATAATAAAGACAGTTTTAGATAATCTGAGGAGAAAGGACAAGCTTGAATGGCTTCTAAGAACTCTAGTCCTGAGATTAGTTAATAACTCCAAAATTGCTTATTGATTCTAGATGGAGAAAAGTCACTTCATGAATGTCTGATCTATAATTGATATCTAGCAAGTTAGAATGAAGTAAAACATAGCTCTTGGCACTGAACAATTTTTGAAAGGAACCACTTTTTATGTACTTAGTAATTCATAGGAGAGATTTCTCTAACAGCTACATAAATACTGCCAACAACCTCAGCAACCCACCCTTTTTGGATTTAAGAAGTATCTGTACATGGTCCTGGGCATCCAGGCCTTGATGTTGGATCTCTCCCATTATGGGTACCAAGAGCCTTTCCATTATTTTTCTATTACTTTTCTAGAGCTCCAGTTTACCTTTACCTGTGCCCTACAGAAAATATAAAATACCTAATTGAACTTCTAGAGATAAAAATCACAGTTGGGAAGTTTAAAAAGAGAAATAGAAAGTACTATAATAACTAAACTGACATAATTTTCAAACCAAAAATTTGTAATTATGTTCTAGAATATAAATTTGTAATTGTAAAAAGAAATATTTGGAGACTATTATAAAGTAGGACTAATTCAGACTTCATTATTATGCCTGAAAATCAAGAATGGGTAATTCGAAGATTATATGTATCATTTTCTATGCAGTATGTGTGTGCATGTGTGTCACTAAAACACCATCTGATCCTATACTGAAGAATATTTAATACTCAATAGTGCTTTAGAAAAGCACTTCAGTATTTACTCACCTTTTCAGAAACTTTTGAAATATTTTTGGGACCATAGCTTGAATTTTATGTAAATTATTTTTGACAATGAACAAAGAACAAAGTTGAGGAAGCCGTTGGGGACTATTCAAACAATTCTCTGCCCAAAAATTATGATTAGTGAAAGTATTATCAAACTGGAGTTTTGTCAAGTTAAGCTTCAGAATTCCAGGTGGAAAAGAAGTCATGTAATTTCCATCAATGTTCAGTTTGTCAAGCGATCTGTACGTAAGAAAAGTCAGACTTTAAAGACATCATGTGATTTATAATACTCAAGCAGATTTCTGCACCAGTATTCTTGAAAACTGGCACCAAGATTACTGGTCATAAAATATCTATTTCAATATTTTCTTAAAATCAAGAGAATTTGCTTATAAAACAACTAAAGCAATATATTATTGTGAAAATAAGTGCATTTATGTAAATGGAACAGGTAATACATATATTTGCAGTCTTTGTAAACTGCCATCACTATGAAAAAAATAATATCCATAAACACAGGAAGACTAATAAACACTATACCATGTAAACACAGCATGGTGATATATATAACAATAAATTTTCATACAAAATTGACACCAGTATATATTTTTCACTGAAGCCTAGTAAAAACAATGAAATTACATATCATTAAAACATACTATTATGTTTTGCATTCACTTTTCAGCACCTTGGTCCCCTTACTTTTTGCTATGTTAGTTATTTCTTTTTTAAACATTTAAAAAAATAATTATTTTTATTTTATATGTATGTATGTATTGCCTGCATGTAGGTAAGTGTACTCATGTCGTGAAATGCCTGCGGAGTTCAGAAGAGGTTATTGGATCCCCTGGAACTGGAGTTACAGGCAGTTGTTAGCTGCCATGTGGGTGCTTGGATTCAAACCCGGGTCTTCTGCAAGAATAGTCAGTGTCTTAACCACTGAGCCATCTCTCCAGCCCCACTATGTTAGTTATTTCTAATGACCTTCGTCCCTTTATTCAAAGAGAACCAATATGACTGATTTTTCTCACTGGCTCAGTGGTGCTTTCTATATCATTTACCACCTTTAGAGCAAGTACTGGGAACTAACAGAAAAATGTCTGTTTCTGAAAGACATGTAAAAACATCAGATCACTGTCGAAGTGCATCAGAGGTGAATGGGCTAATACATGGCCTTTAGGCAGCTGAGCACATGGGAGCCCCTGAACGCTCAATGACTATGTAGTCTCACATCCACTTTGCCCATAATTGGGTTCTTTGGTGGTGAGTCTCACTGACAAAAGTGAAATATGATTAAAGGTGGGATTTAAAACAAAGAGCCTGGACAATTCTTCAAGCACTGCTCTTGTAGTCTGATAAATGTAAGTGAAGCCTCAACCTCCTATTTTGTCCTAAGAGACAAAACTGGCATGATCATTTTTTTCCTCTACACCAAACACAAGCATAAGGTCAATAGCAGAGTCGTACTGTGATCTGAATGCTCATGCCTCCCCAAACTTGTAGGTTGAACCCTTAATCCCCAAAGTGATGGTGTTTGGAGACAGAGCCTTCAGAAGGTGATTAGATTGTGATAGAGAGCTCTCATAAATGGGATAGGCACACATCAAAGAGAATTTGGAGAAACTCCTCATCCCCTCCATCCAGTGAGCTGAGAATGAGACTGATGAAAAAGCACCCTGCCTCTTCTCCCAGCAACCGGCAAGTGTTAAGCACTGTTAAGACATTTAAAGTCGCTATTAGTGATAATGATGTTATTTTAGGTTTATATTGTGAGCACTCCTTATGTTCACTTTCCTATAAGTAAAGATGTTGGGAATGGGGCCATTTAATTCCTCAATTATCAGCTGTTGGACTTTCACCATCCTCTCTGCTTTGAGCAAAGGCTAGCAGTTACATAGATAGCCCAACAACCCTTATGCCGGCATCAGCATCAGCATCCGAACATTCACAGATACTGCAAAACTGAAGGAAGCTCTCAGGAGACTGCCCTGGTTTCTAACAACATAGACCTGGCCAGAGTTGTTTGAAACAGCTTGTACCAGACACATTGCTCTCACAAGCCTCGCTGAAGTCTAGGAGATTTTGCAATCATTTCCACCTATGCAAGAGAGGGAGTATTTTCTCTCTCCCAGAGAGGGTGGTCTGACAGAGGAACTTTTGTGACTAGTATGAAAAGAAAAAGCCATGATTGGTCCAAAACATAGGCCTCCATGGCTGTGTGATTGGTATTAAGAGGCAAGGCTGTGATTGGTTCAAACAAATGGTGGTGAATGTTCAAAACTTTCGTCATTAGACTGCATAAGCAGGCTGCTCAGTCTCACACAGTGAATTCGCTGGGAAGACACTCTCCTGTGTTTCCTTCCCTGGGATTTAACCATTAGGCCTGATAAAACCATGGGTGAGGCCTGACTTGAAAACACAGTTCCAGCAGCATACCTCCAGGGCACACTTCCAAGAGGCACCTGGGGAATGAGAGTCCCCCAAGTTCAGGCTCACTCTTAAAAAACAAAATTAAGAGTCGGGCTGCTTCATTCAGGCAATTGTAATGTTGGCATAGTAATGCCACAGAGGGAGACTAGTTTTCTTTAAAGGTGTGGCCCCTGGTAGGTTGATCACATTTCCAGGATGGATCCACACCTGGGAATATTTGAGAGCACACAAATTGGGCTTGATGGGCTTTAGAAAAAAAGAAAGCATGATGTTTGGAAGGGGGATAGGGAACTGCTGGTGGATCTGAGAGGAGATAAGGGAGGAAGCTGAATATGATCAGATACATTGTATGACAGTCAAAAATTAATAAAATGTTTTTTTTAAAGGGAGAAAAGGTTTGAGATGGAAGGTTAAGAGTTCAGCAGGTTTGGGGTGGGACTGAAAAAACATACTATTAACATGATCTGATAAAATTTCTGAAGATCAAAGATCATGAGAGAATTGTACATTTTTTCCAATTAAAAATAAGAGCCACTTTCATGGGAGGTATTCTAAATAGCTTTAGTTGTCAACTTGACACACCTGGGTAGAGGGAGCCTCAATTGGAGAATTGCCTCCATTGGCCTGGCCTGTGGCCATGTCTGAGGGGAATCTTCTTGATTGCTGAGTGATGTGGGAGGGCCCAGCCCACTGTGGGTCAATTATAGGGTCTTAAACACCCAAAAGGAAAGTATAACCAAAGATTAATGGGGTCAATAAAAATTTTTAAGAGTCTGTTTGTATAGCTAAAGGCTACATAACAATAAACAATGCCAGGCAGGAGTACCTTTCTTTGAGTCATTGGCCA